AACACTCCAAAGAGAAAGGAACAATTGAAATCGCATCATATGACCCCTTTAAGGCTTTTAGTGTATTTTTGATCAAATCAATTCAGCATCGATGAGCATGAGACTTCTTTCAAAAACGTTTAAAAAATCTTACCGACCCCAAACTTTTGAATGGTTGTGCATATAATCAAAGTTTGTTACATATTTGTCTTCCTGGCTGACATGAATATACACATAAGTACAATTTACTGAACGGACTGTTTATCCTTCACCCTTGTTTATATTTGTGTCAAATTAAATATAATGTCTACAATGACTATAAGGTCCTTTTAGAAAACTTTCCTACTGGTGTTCATTTACACAAACTGTCACACATCTAGATTCATGGGCACTGCCTGCTAAAACTGAAATGAATAGTCAATGTTTACTGCTTCATGATCCTCCTTGCTCGCCTGGAGAGGTGAGGAATTCAAATGAGGCAGCCAAAGGTCGTTTCTGTGGAGTTTTTGAGGTGTCCTCCAGAGTGTGTGCACAGGCCTTCTGTCAAGCCGAGCTCCAGTCATCGCATCTGCAGTCGGCTTGCGTCACAGACTGTCACACACACATACACACACATTTCCTTGGCTGGGCAACCGAGTGTTATAGTTAGGAGAGATCTGACCTTCACACGCATACAAACCTGTTCTCATCAAATCTAGTCCATCTATCATAGTTCTACTCTAACACATACACACTTTCACACAGTTGTGCTGGAGGAATTTACTATGTGACTCAGAAATCTTCAGGGACCTATTGATCAGAGAGAAACTGCACAGCTCACACACATACACAAATTGGCAGTAATCGTTACCAGGAGCCAAACTGATGTGGTTGCTAACGTTAAAACCCTCTTGCCCACAATGAAAGGCTGGTATGTGACAAAAAGAAAAAGATATGCCATTGAAAGAGATACTTTTGCAGACTTGACTAATCAAACAACCTTTTTCCCCTTTGGCCTTTCAGTGCAGACATGCCCACACATTGCTTTCTGTCTCTCTTTCTCTTACCTTTTTTCTCCCCAAAGGACATTTGTATTGCTGTCATGGAGCTCTTAGTTGTGTTTCATATAAACTACCAGTCAAAAGTTTGGAATAATTAATATTTTTTGAATGTTTATGTTTTATTTGAATATATTTTATAATGTAATTTATTTCTGTGATTGCAAAGCTGAATTTTCAGCAGCCATTACTCCAGTCTTCAGTGTCAAATTATGTTTTAGAAATCATATAACATATGACACTGAAGGCTGGAGTAATGGCTACTGAAAATTCAGCTTTGCCATCACAGGAATAAATTACATTTTAAAATCCATTCAAATAGAAAACAGATCTTTTGAATAGTAAAATATAAAATTATTTCACAATATTACAATTTTAAATTGTACAATTTTAAATTATTTCACAATATTACAGATTTTACTGTATTTTTTTTATCAAATAAATGCAGCCACGGTGAGCAAAAGAGACTTCATTCAAAAACATTTGAAGACTTTTAATCACATAACCACAGTTTGAGACATTGTTGAGACCTTGTTTAAGACCTCTCCTGAAACTTTAGATGAGACTTGTGCAACATTAGTCTTTTTCTCAAAAGAAACATTTGAAACAGCAGACTTAATTTGGTTTCCATTTAATGTCACTGTTATCTAGTACAAACAATTGCATACATTAAAAATATCTCATGTTTTATTTCTCTGTCTAGTAAGTCTTTCTGTGAGCTGATACCCTAACATGCTTGAAACAGGTCACATGGTAATAGAAAGTCTTGATGTGGCCAATAAACAGTGGAAAAAACAAGGTGATGCATTTGTGTTGCTTTCTGGGAACTAAAACACAACTTTAAACACACACAAACATGTGTACTCACCCTGATGGATTATCCACCTTGAGAAAAGCCTGGATAACCAGTGGAAACTCATACTTTACTATGTACAAGTAGCTGGACATGGCTATGAGAGAGAGAGAGAGAATGGCTGTGAGATGCATACACACACACAGACACGCACATATACGGTAAACAACCTAATCCAGGATGTATTCGTCCACTCCAGGGGATTGGGGTTATAAATGTCACAATAAAGAAGAGAATTAGTTCTATATTTAGTTTTTATAAACATGCACCAAATGCCAACCAGCTCAGGGTCCGATTAAATCACGGTTCAAATGACAAAGTTCTTATACATCTTAAATATTATAAAATAATGTTATACAATAAGCCAGAGATTGAGATACATTTAATTACTTTATATTTATTACATTACGTCAGTGATTAACTGATTATCAGAAATCTTGGAATAGCCTATAGAAATATTCAGCAATTTTGAAATGAAATCATTTATATTTGTAATAATAATCAGCAGATGGACTTCAACATTAATAATTATTTGTGTTGAAATAGACTGCAGCCTGTCTACAACACTGAGGAAACAGAGGAACGGTTACTATGATAATGAAGAAATAAAAAATAACAGAGTGATGGCCTAGAGCGTAAATGAATGAATGACACTGCTATGTAAGGCCAGTCACTCTCTCTGCAGAGGTGTACATGTGTGCTGTGCCCTTGATGGGTCGCAAAGCAATACATTGTGACGTTTGCAAGAGTCTCACCTCCAATATTCTGCAGGGTGATCGCAATGCCGGCAGCCATCTTGCCTGGTGTGCCGAAGGCTCGGTAGCCCAGTTGTTCATAAGCTCTAATGCCTGACAACAAAGAAAAAAGAGACGTGAAATCCATACATTGTCCATTTGCTATTAATATACAGCTAATCCCCCCAAAAAATATTTTTCTTCCTCTGAATAATTACAATACATTTAAAACTGTATATGATAATAATAATAATTATATCACAAACATGTCTTCTTCCAAGTAATATAGTCTTACTAATTAAATCAGATTCTGTTTTTATAGCATTCAAATGTATTCATTATTAAAACGACTATCACGGATATCACGGTATATGTAAGGTTTGTTCGTTTTTCAAGGTAACCATGTGGTAAACGTGGGTTTGGGGAAACAATGTAACCATGGGCTTATAGTTGATATAGCACTGACAATGACAGGCACAATTGATCAAGCACAGCAGACGCTCTGCTATTTTTAGCCTAATGCACACCAGAAATATTCTGGCCAATTAAAATCTCTCACAGAGGAGTGAGGCAGATGGTCACTGAGCCAACAACGAGAGCAATGTCACATCAGTTAACACCTCCATCTAAATCAGCTCTTCATTTTAGCAGGGTAAAGGTTCAGGAACAGTTTTCATATCCAAATTATAGTCTTAACTACAGAGGAGAGCTTTAAACTGGTACTGGGTCAGTGTGATGAAATACTCACCCACAACGCCTGAAGATTTTAGCAGCAGGTGAATGGAATATGAAGACAGACCAGCGACAGCAGTGAGGAGAATTCTGCAAGACAGAAAAGACAAAATAACTGCAACTGGAACCAAATGTCACTGTGTTATAATTACAGAGTACTGTAAAACAGCCTTTGGTTCAAAAGCACAGAACTGAAAGGGCTCAAAGCACACATGGGATAATGGCACTCAAGACATAAAGTAATATTCTAGGATAAAAACAAGAAATTAAATATATTTATGCCAATTATGAAAAAAAGCTATCATAAAAAGGAATTTATGTCAGTCATAGAATATTATTACACTGCCCTACATTATATTTTCTGATAAGTCCAACACTTTCTCAATGTGCATTTTGTAACATTTTAGCTATTGAAAACCATTTGTAAGGTAATAAAAACCTTCTATTATCACTTAATTACCAGAAAAGCTGCCACAGACATGATTCTTGTTTTCCTCTGAGCCAGGTTACAACTATTTGTTGAATTCTCAGCTGATTTTCACATGTATGGATGATTCTGAAGACTATTTTAGGTCTAATCCAGATTTCCACTTTTTGTACTCCTTTGCAGATTTAAAGTTAAATGATACATTTTTAATACTTTTTTTTTCAATAAAACCTAAACTTTTGACATGTATCTAATTCTGTTATTTTGTCAAGTGCATTAAAACTGTTATTTTATCATTATAGTTATAATTACTGTATATAAATTATATACATAAAAATATAAATTACATAAATTAAATGTATATCAATTATTTTCTATGATTATTTATTTTTATTTTCTATGACAACATGTCAGATATATTTGATTTCTTGTATTTACAGTATAATTGAATAATTTAGAATATAAAAATTAATGTCACTGTATATCTATCATTTATAAATATGCTATGTTTATATTAATATATAGAATAAAAAAAATATTTACAGGCCTAATTCTAAGAGCTGAAAAGAGGTTATAGTCTCAGTAAGGTGGAAAAATACTAGACAGCGTAATCACGGGCTAGTCACAGATAGCCCATAAGTGCAATGGCACCCTCCAGCTGCCAACATCTGGACAAACATCTCAAGCTGGGAACCCGAAATACGCTCTACTGACTCTTTTTCCTCCATGCAAATGTCCTGTTTAGTCCCTTTTCCTAGGTCCAGAATGTCTGGGCATCTTTACTGACCAGGCCTTCTCTGCCAAGCACTCAGTTTCAACTCCGCACTTTCTCACGTTTTCCCTTTTCCTTCTTTTTTCCAAATGACGTGGCTGAACTGCAGCAGGAGAAGTCAACGAGTGCAGTTCTGCTGGAAACGGCGGTGCCCTGACTTACACAAGCTCCGAAATGGATAATCATCATCATCAAAAAAAACAAAAAACTCCCAGCCTTGACTAACATTCCACAAATATTTAAATAAGTGGAGCACAACTAGTACAGCTAATCACTCGCATTTAATAACAAATTATGCTCGAGGAGGCAGCATTATGAGAATAAAAAGCTTTGAAAAATCGGAGACAGAACATGCGATTTGTTCACCAGCTGCAGTGTGTTAGTGGATGCAGGTGGCTTGAATGAAGGCACTATGTGATCAGTTCAGTATCCAAACATCAGCTGATTGTGATGAGAAATTTGATATCATCCAAGCTCCAAAAGACAAAGAAAAAAGGTCTTAATTTAGGAGTTATACCTGTTCCAAAAGCTAGTTGCTGCCTGTTGATTAATTTCAACACAGAATGAAATGTATTAATACTCAAAATTTCACTCAAATCATTTGCCATATTATTATTTTTTTTCCAAGAGCGTTAAATCTGAGATCAAGACCAGTCTTGAATGCTATGGTGCTAGAATGCCTTGTAAGAACCTGAAGACAAATTACTGTTCATTTTGTATCACACACACAATTCATTCAGGAGTGTCTGGATGTGTTTCTCCATTTACTGAAGGCCGTTTATCCAAGTGGCTTCATCAGTTCTTAAATTAATGGATAAACACATCTTAAGCAAATGGAAGAAGTGGATGACTCAAGCACAATGTTAATTGAGACTCCAGCAGTACTCTGTCACGGATGCTATAAAAGATTATTTTAATGGAGAAAAATACATGAAAAATTAATTGAGCGTGGTGCTACAGCAAATCATCATATCAGATTTTCTAAGTATCTACTTTGTATGACACAATTCTTGCTCCCACTGTTTTGAGACTTGTCTCATAAACATGTCTTTTTATTCCAGGAACATGAAATAAATGCATGTCCTTGAGCAATAACATGTCCCAGTAAGCCACAGGAAGCCGAATTTCAAGGCAAAAGTTGGGGATTTTTCGGTTTGTCATAATCTTCCACAAAGAGCTGCTCTTTCAAAGACAACCAATAGAGCTCCCAGATAATTTAGGTAATAACATTGTCCCAGATGCTTCTCCTTACATTTCTTTAAAAAAATAGAAGCAAATACACATATAAATATATATGATAATGACAGTTTGTTGAAATCTATTCCGAAACTCCACAGGAGACAAATGTGAGTTTACTAGGGTCTTTTTCTCAGGAGAAATCTGAGAGCAGGAGCCGCCGTTTGCTGTCACTCTTGTAAGAAAAGAGGAATAGGAACGCCACACGCTGTTTTGTGATGCCAGATATTCATAAGTTATCCTTGTTTGTGATGTTGTGTATTTCCAGGAGTCGTGGATTCACTCTCGTCTCTAGAGAACCGCTGCCAAGATTCAAAGTGACACAACAAAATCGAGCCTGAAGTCAACCTACAGCTCACACGGGCGAAACCCAACATCGGCATTTCAGAATCTGTCCTCTATCTTCATCTATATACTGTACACCATATACAACAAATATCAGCATAAAATTTACGATAGCCTGTAGAGTACAAAATGTTCATCATAAGCCATAAAGCATATAGAAGAATACAAATAAATGTTATTATACTAGCACACAGTACATCATATCCTGAGACTCCACAATGATATCCTCATTGCAAGGTCTAAGAAACTCCCATAAACCTTAAGAATTCATTCTCAAGAGCTGCACTACTATTAAAAGGAACATTAGCTGCATTATTAAATTGTGTCTGGGATTGATTTATGAGTAGCCCGAAGCCACAATCAGCACTGGAGAAACACTGTTCTCAGATCAGACAGGTACCACACGTAAAGAATCGGGAGTATGGAGAGTTCAAGTGTGCCAAATATCGCAGAACCCCAGTCACACCAAACAGCTCAAACCCAAAGCCCTCTCAGAAAGGAAAATAAAAAAATCCTCCGTACATTGCTCAACCCAGATTAAAAGGCCTGACTGGTTTTCATAAAGCATGTACATCTAATCTTCATGATCACAGCAGAGAGCCCATGTTAAGTAGCACAGACCTTTAGATCATACCTACAGTAGATGACAGACTCTTTGTTAACGAAACTAATACAGCGCGTCTGGCGTGAATGCAGAGCTCCCGTGCAAAGTGAGTGTCCTGGTACAGCCCGCTCAGCTCTACCGAAGGTCAGTCAGGAAACAAATCTCTCTGGCAATCTGACTTTTCTAATAAAAGCTGCTTTACTAGAGGATTAATACAGCGGGAACACCAGTTCACAGAATGGGAATTAACATAGATCATGACAACTAACAAACTGTAGGGAAGCTGTGACATTGTGATCAATTTTAGTGAAAAAAGTACTTCTTTCTTTCTTTCTTTCTTTCAAAAAAAATTATTGGTAGTGTACATTGAGTTAAATATAGGGACCAGAACTGTTGTGCAAGATAAAGTAAGTACTTCACAACTGGATTCATTAATATAATCAATTATACTGCATGATGACATATTAATATAATCAAATAACAGCATGATGACAATTAATTAGCTTATTAATACACACTACAATAAACTCATTAGGATACATATTCAGCAAGAACAACAATGGCTTTAATTCTCAATAAAATATCAGATCTGCAGTAAAAAACATGATCAATTCTGGCTCTAATGTTTCCCCACAAAGTGGTTTATGATGGTATCAAACGCACAATGAATTTATTAATTCTAGCTCAAAGTGAACTATCTATTCTCCATAAAGGCATTTCCCTTACAAACTGAATGTATAGAGTTTAACCTAAATCTGTAACTTACATAAAGAGGACAATGCCCGTGTTGGCCATTGCATACGCTAATCCCAAAATTCCACTTCCCATGATGGCGTTTCCCAAGTTGAAGATGGACATCCCAAAAGAAGTCTTTCCCTCAAACTAAAAAGAACAACAGAGCAGTTAGTCCACACATTCACATCTGAAAAATATTATCTTGTCTGGCACATGTTCACAAAATGCCATACATGAAATCTTATCAAAAGCTCAACTTACATCCGTGAAGCGAGGAGTTTTCTTGTCATCTGCATTGGACAGGAACTCAGAGCTTTCTGCCAGGTTTGCCTCTGCATTACCTGGAGTTCTGTCAGTAATAAAGACACACATAACACCCATGAGAGATTGCCTGGCAGTGCACTGTCAAAGGAAACTTACTAAAGGGCTAACATCACCAAAACACTGATTTAGTGTGGGTGCTTTATTTACAGATGCATGATGTGCAGCTGCAGAAAAAAAAACTGTTTTGTTTGCTAATGATTCCGCTCTCTGTATGACATACCTGGCATTTTCAGTGCTATTTGGTACAAGTTCCCTACAGAGCAGTGTAGGAACCGCATCCACGAAAGCACAAGAGACATATAACACACCCTTAGATAAACACTACTGAAGGCATGTGGCCACAATCAGGAGAAAGTGATGTCTAGTTGAGAAACATTTGATTTGCTTATGTGAAGGCGAGCGGTTCTTCTACATGCAGGGTGATTTTGTTTTGCATATAAAAGAACATATAGGTGTTTCTTCAACTAAAGGCACTTTTAAATTTTGCAGAGAAAAAAAAAATTACCTTAAAGGAAACTTTTGCATTCTCACTAATATGATTTTTCCTACTAGCAACATGCCTCAGAGGAGCATTCTTTTATTTTTTTTCTAAACCAAAACATTATGCATTTTGCAACATTTTTAAATTAAATTGCCTTTGTCTTGTTAAGGCTAAACTCATAGCCAGCATTCTATGTATTTTATCTTAATTAAATATATAATTTTCACAAAATAGAAGTTGAAAATGTATTTCACTCAATGTGTAGATCATCAGTTTTAAACAGTTAATAACATCATTTTGTGGTTATTTTCATATTAAGTGAAAGTGACGTGACATGTGGCCAAGTATGGTGACCCATACTAGGAATTAGTGCTCTGCATTTATCCCATCCAAAGTGCGCACACACAGAAGTGAACACACACATACTGTGAACACACACCCAGAGCAGTGGGCAGCCATTTATGCTGCGGTGCCCGGGGAGCAGTTGGGGGTTCGGTGCCTTGCTCTAGGGCACCTCAGTCGTGGTATTGAAGGTGGGAGAGACCGCTGTACATTCACTCCCCCCACCTACAATCCCTGCCGGTACGAGACTCAAACCCGCAACCTTTGGGTTACGAGTCCGACTCTCTAACCATTAGGCCACGACTTCCCCCATTGATTGCCTGGGTCTGAGAAAAGGGTAAAACAATCAAATCTATATATTAAAGGCATTTGTATTTTAATGTGACCTAAAGAACAAATATAACCTAAAGAACAAAGTTAGTTTGACTAAAAATCTATTGTTGCCACATAAAAAGTTCCTGTAGTTGAAGAAACACCCATAAGCATTCATTTGCACAAAAACATCTACACAATCACAGACACATTGGAGCTGTGAACACAGTTATGAGAGCATAACATCAGTGCTACTGAATGTGCCCAGTGATGACTGAACTGTGCTGTTCGGTGACATTTAGGACTGTGATGACAGACAGGCTTCACCTTATTAAGATGACATGACTGGAAGCTTTAATGCTAGCTGGAAGATACTGCAAAAACACACACTATTGTTCACACATACTGTACATATGCTCTAACAAAAGGCATCCCTACGATAGACTGAATGATGGATTGAATGATAAAGCTTATACCAACTGAAACTGTATTACTAAATCTCCACACATTGGATGACTGACAATAAACCATCCTTAACCAGACAGACATTATATAGCACCCTTGAGCGAATACTTACTGAGCTGCATCTCCTGATTGGCTTTTTATTGCAGTTGCAGTTGTCTCCTCACCAGCTTCGTGCCCCTTTCCATTGGGGATAGTGTTCATCTCGGCGGGCTCCATGCTTTCAGAGCGATTATTCTCGGTCTTCAAGTGTGCGTGTGTGTGAGAGGAAGGTGTATAGAGAAACTTTGTGTCGGTCCCTTGTTTCCCTATAAGAAAAGCATGCAAAAACCAGTACATATTAATCCCAGCTTGTTTAAAGGAGACATGGTGTGTTCCTCTGTGTAAAATGGAGCAGTGAAAGTATGTATTATGTAAGGCCTTGAAATAAGATAGTGATGTGAATCTCCAGGCTCAATTCATGTTGTTGCTTTCTGAAATTTGTCAGAAGACGACAGTCTGCATGAAGCGGAATTTGCATATTTTCTTCAATATTATGACGTATATTCTAGTGAAATGGCTTGTCAAACGAGAAAAAATGGGGGGGGCAGCACTTGATTTTGTGAATAGATTAGATCATAGGGTTACAGGGGCGTATGCTTTTTTTTTAAACGAATAATGATGCCAGGGATTAATTATTTATAATAAACACTGCAATATTTCATTCAAAAATAATATTTGTTAATTCTGATGTCACACTGACTTTAAGCTCAAGCACGAGTTGCATTCTCCAGTGTTTCCCACAGACTTTACTCTCTATTTGTGGCGGCATATATGCAAACTCATTCTCTGCCAGCAGGAGGCGCTTGTAGAGCGGGAGATATAGAGGTTTCCCCGGTAACGCAGAGTAGCCCCTGGTAGGTTAAGGGGTGGAGATGGGTGGGTTTAGGGATCAGGGGGTGGAGATGGGTAGGTTTAGGTATATCTAAGGTGGGAGGAGTTGGATCTGGATCCAACAACGCCCCCTGGATCCTGTGTTCTGCAGTGAGGACCATCTCCAGTAGCGGCTGTACACAAAGCAGCGCTCCGCTCACAAACGCTGCTTTGTCAGACATTACATGCAAGATGAAACGAAAATGGCATCCAAAATTTTCTGAAGACAGTCGGATTCCTTCATATATAAAAACACCCGCACCATATTTCGATTTTGAAATGCAGTGAAAAGCAGTGCTCAGTTTATTCAACGAAGTCAAAGCCTTTTGGAAAATCTATTTGTGGCAGTCAGTCACCAGTGTTTCCCACAGACTTGCAAATGCTAATTCATTCTCTGCCACCAGGAGGTGCTGTTGGAGTGGGAGATATAGCGGTTTCCCCAGTAACGGCAGTAATCTAATAAGCACTGCGCTCACAAACGCTACTTTATCAGGCATTACAGAAAAGACTCAATGAAAATGACATCGAAGCTTTTCTGAAGACGGTCGGTTCTTTTCAAAGATACATTCATATAAAAAACACCCGTGCCGCATTTTGATTTTGAAACGCGCAGTGCTCATGTTTATTCAACGAAGTGTAAGCCTTTTGGAAAATCTATTTGTGGCAGTCAGTTTTGATATTGTGACGGGCCGCCACAAATAAATCAATGTATGGGAAACACTGATTCTCAATGTTGCCAATAGGGGTGATATAGCATGCATTAATGTGATCTGCATTTTCTCTATGGTTAGTTTTCATGTGAACTACTCTTGGAGAAACAGTTTGAATATAATTTTTCTATCAGGAATTTTTCTATTCAGGTCCGGCAGGGATTGTAGGTGGGGGGAGTGAATGTACAGCGCTCTCTTCCACCTTCAATACCACGACTGAGGTGCCCTTAAGCAAGGCACCGAACCCCCAACTGCTCCCCGGGCACCGCAGCAAAAATGGCTGCCCACTGCTCTGGGTGTATGTTCACGGTGTGTGTGTGTTCACTGCTGTGTGTGTGCACTTAGGATGGGCTAAATGCAGAGCACTAATTCCGAGTATGGGTCACCATACTTGGCCACATGTCACATGTCACTTTTTTAATCATTTTTCTTAGAATTAAAACAGTTTTCTTAGAATTTTTCTAATCTGAAATTAATTTGAAACAGAACTGTAATTCAAATTTGAATAAAAGGAAGGAGACTTACATCTACACCGAATGCTAGCAGTGTGACACAACAAAATACAAAGCACCTTCATTACTTGTGACACGTAGGACAATGGATTTGCAATGATCGCTTTGATTCCTTGTGTCTGGTGTAGACACTGTGTCACAATGAACAAAAAAATTAATATAACTGCAATAAGTATCATTTTTAACAACAGAAAAAAGAAGGTTCGTCAAGACAAACTTTGAATGATGGCCTGAAAGTTTTAAATAAATAAAGAAAATTTACTTTCCTTTACAGGCCTTAGAGACAGACAGAAGACTTTGGCTCTCAGTATTTCTCTCATGTGTTTCTTCCTTCTTGCATGACAAAACAGCTCCATCAAACCTCTGCCACTGCCAAATTAACTTTGCAAAACAGCCAGTAACCTTTTGCTCCGATACCGTACAACTGAATAAGTCGTCACTTTCTTGACTCAACTGAGAGGTGTTGTTCTCGCTTTCCTCCTTTCACTATATGGATCATGATGTCTCTATAGCTGTTTTTGTGGTCTCTTCCTGCCTTCATTGGTGCATGACTCCCTGTGGCTTCTTATGATGGACCTGTTGGAAAGCTGACATGCGTCTCCAGGCTCCCATTTGGCCCCCTGGTATTCCCAATCCTGGTCTGAAAGGACGAAGCCTTAGTATCACATTAGCTACAAAGCATAAACAGAAGTAGGGGGAAAGAGGATGGGAGGGAACCTACACTCCAAACCAGCAGGCCAATTGAGGAAGCCAGCAGAACCAGCTATGACCAGCTTAGAACTAGTTCTGGCCCTCTTTGTTCGTTCATCTCGCTTTTATTTTTTTACTGCTTTCTTCTCATTCCTTTGCTTTTAATTAGGAGAGGCTTAACATAACAGCCATGCTCTCGTCATGCTTGAAAGAGAATGCTACCCCCTCGCTTTTCCCCACTACGCCCCGCAAACTTGAATTAATAATCGAGCAGAAAATGAATCGGTGTGAACTCTGAGAAGATAAACTCTGGATAATCCAGCGAGATGCCACGTTACTCGGCTTGCTGCGCAGTCACGCCAAGAGCAATGTGGTTGGGCAGCAAAGCACGGTACACAATTGGGCATGCTGTGTGGTTTCCTGGGAACAGAATTGGAGGAACAGAAGGGTGATTGTGCCAAGCGTCATTATACCAGTGGGGCCTCCTCGGCTCAAACTCGCCAGGGCACTCGAAGGGCTGAAAAGGTAATTCATTGGGCTCCCTAATTCAAAAAAAACATTGAACCTTAAATTTGGGAATGTATCATGAAATGGGAAGCAGACCTATGATGGGGGCAGATGTCTGTGCCAAGATGCTGAATGGAGAACCAGCCTGTCCTTCATGCACTCCGCTAATCAGACAGACACTGGCCTGACCGTAACAAATATATGGTTACACGTGATTGGCCGGAGGAGTTCAAGGCTTTGGGTGGAGTCAATTGAGCGAACCGTAACAGGTCCCATTGTCGCATATTCAAACACATAATAGCCACTGCGTTCGCTTTGCACCGGAACATGCGACGACTTTCAACCGGGTCTGAAAAACACAAACAGAATTTGTTTTCATTCTACTCTGATGTCTGGCAACTACTAAACACACTGGGGAAGAAACAGCATTGCCAACTGGGTCAAGTTTCTTGAATAACGAGAAGTTTATTCACAGATTAAATACTCAATGCAGCCTGCTTTCAATTGCTCATCTAGACTAAACCCGCTAGAACAGGCGCACACTTCCGAAGAGTCATAATATCGCCTCCCTACTGATGTAACAATGTCCCACATTCTCAAAAAGAGGCTGGGACATGCTAATCGGTACTCATTATGTCTGCATGACATCAAGCAGTCACATGCAAAAAAGCATGAATGCTGCATTTGTTGTGACATGATGTGGTGTTGTCAGGAGCTGATTTAGCTCTGTGTCTGTGAAAAGCACTTATTAGAAGTGCTGCAACGACACATCAATGTTCATTAACAGCCTACGAATGTGTTTAAAGTGTTCATAAATTACTATTATTAAAACGGTTTCATCCCTCTCTGTCATGGGATTAAACAGCAGCGAAAACTTGAGTGCAAAAGAGGAAGAAATCGAATGGATTAGAGCAAGAGGTGGAAAGAAAGTGATTAAAGGGATATTTCATCCAAAAAATAAAAATTACCCCGTAATTTACTCACCCTCAAGCCATCCTAGGTGCATATGACTTTCATCTTTCAGACGATTACAATTGGAGTTATATTTAAAAATGTCTGGGCTCTTCCAAGCTTTATAATGGCAGTGAATGGGTGATATTCGATAGTCCAATAGAAGTCCAATAAACTGTGTCCATCCATTATAAAAAACACCAAAACACCGGTCAATTAGAAATACAAAATGAGGATTTGTAAAGAAAAAAGTCAGAGGATTTCAATATAAGCCAAGAGAAGACTGGTTTTCCTTTACTAAAGTAAGGAAACTTGCCTCCTTTGCTCCTGTAAACAAATCTTGGTTCTCACGAGACTAGCATATTCTCACTGGACCTTACACTACGCCTACCTTCTATGTCATCCGCTGGAACGTGACTCTCTCATGAACGTGTGTACAACAGTTGGTGGAAGCTAGAGATTACGGTTTATAAAGTTTTAAATATGGTTATTTTTCTTACAAAAATGCTTTTTTTATATATTGTCAATGGACAATGGTAATTATATAAAAACGCAATATTAATTAAACAGACTATACATTTCATCTTATTATTTACATAGCAACGCATCATGCAGGCACAATAGCGCTGTATGACAGATGTATCACTTTTATTAAGATTTTCCTTTTTTATTCAAAATATCCACTACATTTTTCAGTACACCACATTAAGTATGCCACTTAGTACTGTAAGACTTTGAATGTTAAAGTGCAAATTAACACCTGACCACTCCTGTGGGTTTGCTATTGTTACAATTAAAAATTGTAGAAGGGTAAAAACATGCCAGGCAGACACTGGTATGATGTAAGCAACACAGCTACAACATATAAAATTGATAATGAGTGTGTTAGATTTATAGTGTGTGAATAATCAAGCACTGACAATAATCAGTCTTATTGGCAGCACAGAGGGGCCCCCAAATAAAATTCTGCTTAGGGCCCCATAAAGGCTTGGGCCGGCCCTGGTTGCTAGAGTGTTCTCGGAGGTT